TCTTCTTGCACGCTCGACCCATTTTTAGTATTCTTACATCCTGTTCTTAATTTTTTTGTTGCTTAGATTCTGCTCAGCAATCAGTTTTGTCCATCTGTTGTCTGTCATTCGTACCGCAGAACCAGCCCATTTTTTTTAAAGCGTAAATTGCCTTGCTAATATTGTTCTCTGTTTCATTGGAGGTATGTTGCAGTTTTCGGAACTTACAACGTCATATGAGTCGCCACTGGCTTGTTCTCTTCGCGAGGTGTGTTATTCCACATTTCATTCCCATATAACTAATTGATAATACTGTAGAATTAAGGATTGCGGTTTTTGCAATTCATTCTCTGTGATCTTCGAAATTTTGTGAAGCGTATTCATCTTGTCCTTTTTCTGTTGCTTAGTTTTGTCTCGTATTCCAATAATTTGCGAGAAAAAAAAGTCAATCTCGCAGCAGGCTAAATTTTTGCTTATGCGGCACTGCGAAGTGGAAGTAACAAATTTGAGTATTATGTGTACTGAACAAAAAGTGAAGTGTGCACAGTTATGCGAATAACTCATCTCTTCATTCTTGGCAAAATTCTTAGCGAAGATGAGATGAAAATCTGGTTCGGCTTGTTGGAAGCTTTTTTTTTGTACTGAGTTGTCACGAAATACTTGTTGTCTCTTGTACTGGCTCAGTTAATGTGCCCTCTTCCAAGTCCACAGTCTTCGTCAGTCCCCCTGCCTTCTTTTTGGAAAATGGCCCCACTGACTTCTTCCCTTTCCTGCACATATCGCTCATCGATATGTGATCGGATTGCGAATTTTTGCATATTTTTCGATATTTGCTGTTTCTTAATCAGGCTGTTGTTATTGTTGCAATTTTGTGAAGATAAAGCAATGTCTTGCCGACTCCGATTGAAGATTATTTGTTCATACGCTCAGAAAACGTTCAACATCCTACAGCCGCACCGTTTTGGAAACAAACCCCCTTTCGCGCATGTTTGTATGCGTATGTGTTTCTGTGTTTGCATATATAATATATACATTATCATTAAATGTACCTTTGACGCTGAGCCTGTACTTTTTAGACTCTCTTCAAATATCAGAGATTGTTCAGTCACTGCTTGACTGACGTGAATGTTCCATCAAAAGAATGCCCTTGCTTGTGTCTTTATTTCCACATATTATCTTGGCATACACAAGGAATTATTACAGTGAAATATGAACAGTATGCGTTTTTGCGTTTACATAATATGCAAAAATGCATTAAAAAAATGTGGGATTTTCCTGGTAAAGAATTTTCTTACAAAACATTGATTCAGTGTGGAGGGAAAGCTGCATTTGCTTGACATTCACAAAATCCGTCATTCCATGATATTTTTTGCTCTGATTAGCTGCACCACATAGCGTCGTTCAAAATGTCCTACACCAATCACAGTGATCTTTTGTATGTCTCCGTTGTGTTGAAAATTCTTTGTCTGACTAAAAAGAAATACGGGGATGCAAGAAAATTGAAATTTTGAGGACAACGTTAAGTTTTTTTTATTTTTCAGAAGTGTTTTTTATCCTCGCCACTAACCATATGTTGCGATATTTGACTTTTCGGGGCTTCACATTTATAGTTCGATTGAGTTTTGCGAAGCACTGGTGATGCTTATACGACGGAATTTATCGGTTTTCCGAAACGGTGTCCGCTGGCCCCCTATTTTTGTGCGATGGCTAACTGTTGCGGAGACAAAATGTCCGGAGGAGCCGTCTACTTCCTCCGCCTCTTCTGCATTCCCACTGAAACGAATTGATCTTGTACCGGCTCGAATACATGCGCATTTATTCGCCGGTACGCCAATCCCGGAAACAGCCCTTGCTGGCGATCCTTTTGAGAAGCTCCAGTTACCGGATTTGGAGGGCGCAAATTTGCTCGAACATTTCGAAAATATTGCGAGCAGGCAGTTCGAGCCTTATCGGTGTCTTCTGGCTCAGGCAGCTTCACTCAAAAGGCTGCCTCGCTTACCGGACGAATGGGCTTTTCAGACTGGTTGGACACGTTACTCGGATAACGAACCTCCTACTCAGGTAAAGTTCTTTTCGTTTTTTTCCGTTTAAATTCTTTTAAATTTTTGAGACTTTTGAAGCGCTGTCATTTTTCATATCGGCGGTAGCAAAGCGTTTTGAGACAGAATCAAAATACCCCTCGCATTTCACTGTTTTTGAAAAGTGGAGGCAATTTGGAAGTAATCTGAATGAAGGCAGCCTGATCGCTGGCAAAATTCGTAAGGGCTGATTTTAAAAATTCTTGGGAAACACGTGAAATGCAGCTCGTGTAGCACAAAAAATGGAAAAGAATGAAATGTTGTATTTAGATTAATAAATTTTTAATAACAGAACAGCGATTTGATCGAATTTTGTAAATGTGCGAAAACAGAGAGTTCTGGACCTCTGGCTTTTTTTGATTATGTATTATCCGAGGGCAGCTTTTGTTCATGAGACATTTATGTGTTCAAGAAGTGATCTTCAGGTGGATTATCCGCTTGAAGATCTGATTTTCATCGATGTTGAAGTATGCGTTCGCGA